GCGCCTTCCAGAGAGGGGACGCCCACCAGCTGGGGGCCGGCCCGTCTAGGGTCTACAGCGGCCCACGCTGGCTGCTCACCAGCAGAGGGTGTTCCCCCTTTGAACAAAACATGGCGATGGGAGGCAGCAGGTGGAACGAAGATGATAAATCCCACGGAAGGCACAGAGCCGGGACGTCCTAGCGGAATAAAGGACGCCCTCGCCCAGCCCGGTCCCACAGGGAGCCCATAGCCCTGTGTGGCCAAGCATCTGCGGGGGGTGCAGGGAGTCCTCGAGGGGAGGCCGACGACCTGGAGAGCCCGTGTCAGAGCAGCCCGAGGTGTCACTCAGGCTCAGGGACCTTTGGGAAAGCAGGGAGGTTGTGAATCTGAAATGTCCCCAGGACAAGAGAATGGGACTGAAGGGAGGGAAATTCTGGGGGGGACCAGACAGCGAAGCCTGGCTTCGCGCTGATGACGTTCCTGCTCCGACCCCGCATGATCTCATCAGGGGCCGGTGTCAGGACCTTAGAAGGTTTCTCACAGAGCCCCTGCGGGGGTGCAGGAGCCCCCCGGGCACAGCATGAGTCTAGCAGCGGTCGCCGTTGGCCCGCTTCCACCTTGGGCCCTTGGCACCGGCGTCGTGGCGGTGCCCATGATGAAGCCGACGGAAAGCCGAGAGATGTGATTTCCGACCTCTGCCCATGTGCCCGCCGGGCACATGAGACCCTGAAAACGTCTTAGAAAGAGCAGCACTTGAATCCGTCGCTCACTCACTGAACCGTTGCCTTTCCCCTCCTGCTCCTTGTCCTAGGTTGGCACAGGACCTGGGATTGGCTTCAATGTGAACATGGCATTTACTGGCGGCTTGGACCCCCCCATGGGAGATACAGAATATCTGACTGCCTTCAGGTAAGCTTCCGGCTAACTTGGGCCTCTGCTGTTGGGGGGGGACACGTTCTTGTGTCCACCATCGTGACACCCATTGGTGGTCAGCCGTGTTGATCGTCTTGGTCATTGTTTGGGGGTGGGGAGGACAGCCCCCTGGAAACACGCCTGGCCCAGCCGCACGCATGCACACGGGCTGTGTCGGAGTGGGTCTGCGTCCCTCTGCCTCTCCTCCCGGGGGCGCGTGGATCTTTTTCTTTCTGTGCGACGTCATAAACATTCAGCTCGTGCTTCTCAACGTTAGCCCAGCTTTAACTTTCTCTCCCGCGTTTTGTCCAACGCAGAATAAGGCCATTTCACAGATGGGTAAGCTGAGTTACTGTGCATTCAGGGCTCTAGATCCATCAGAGCTGAGAGAGGTCACAGAGATCAGCTGCTCCAGCCTCTCCTCTTGTGCGTTGGGGTTCGTGACCCTGGATTTGGAGGCAGGACGCGGGCTTACACCCTGACTCTAAGAGTCTGCATGACCTTGGACAGGTCCCTTCTCCTCTGGAACATGAGGGGCTCTCGCTTCGTGGGCAGCTCTGAATGGTGGGAGGCCCAGGGAGGTCTCACCTCGGTGACAGACGGGGACTCACAGAGGCAGGATTTGAACCCAGGCCTCCCGGCTCTGGGCCCCCACTCTTCCCAATGTGCTTGGTGATCACCCCAGAGAAAGGCCCTCCCCTCTGGGTTTTTGTCTGTGCTGCTGGCCCCGGTCTTTATCACCTTGGCCATTGGCACCAGTTTTGAGCACAGGGAATTAGGAGTGCCAGGTAGATGAGGACGTATTGGGGACCCCCCTTGGGACTGTCTCTGTCCTGGGGCCTCCCACCTCCTCTCATCATCTGGTCCCCTCTCCATCCCATCGCCCTCCTCCTTTCTGGGTGGGGGGGGGCAGCACAGAGAGCCACCATTACCATGGGATCCTCTCCGTATGGCCTAGGGCCAGGGCCTCTCTGGGCACCCTGGCAGGATGCGTGACTTCTCTGGGCCTCAGTGTCCTCTTGGGTCAAACGTAGCCGGTCAGAACTCATGAGATTTAGGTGAGTCCACAAGATTGTTGTGAGGATGGCCCTTTGTGAGACTTGGGCACCTTGGAAAAGGGAGGAGGTGCAGTGATAAGGATTACGGCGATGATTTGTCCTGGTCTGTGACGTTCTTCACCGAGGGCACACCAGCAGCTGCTTGGGAATGTGGGTCTGAGACACTTAGCAGGGCCGCTGAGAGGTCCCTCAGCCAGGGGCGTACGAAGGCCGGCTGGACATCAACCACAGTGTAGAGACCAGCCCATTTGGGGCCCTCATGGCCTGCAGGAGACTCTGAAGCCTGGGGTGCAGAGTGCTGGCCCTGGAGTCAGGAGGCCCGAGTTCTAATCCAGCCTCAGACACTAACCAGCGGAGTGACCCTCAGAGTCAGTATGTTGGGGAGGGGCTGCTGTCTGTGTCTGAGGAGGGACCCCAGCCCCTGGAAGCACCGCCAGGCAGAAGTAGGCAGGGTTTTCCTGGCGGCCAGCAGGCCCTTCTCTTTTCCTCGGCTCTTGACAAGATGTGATGGGCCTTGGGCTGTCTCTGGACATAATTTGTTTGGGGACCCACTCCCCAGAGCAGTGACTGACATCTGAAAATGGGGGCGGGGCCGGCTTGATTTCTTCCTCTCCCAGGCTGAGAATGAGTAGCTTTGCCAGTCTTTAGAGATAATAAGAATAATAATAATAACAAGTGGTTCAAAGGCTCCGACATTGACTCCTTGGGACGGTGTTTCTTCAACCTGGAGTTAGCACAAAACTGATTGACTCAGTCGCTCTGAACGGCCACTTCTATAAGACATCGTTGGATGGCAGCCTGATAGGGGCCAAAGGATCTGGGTTCGAATTCTACCTGTGCTTCTTAGGACCATGAGATCCCAGATCTAGAGATGGAGGGGGCCTTAGAGGACATTGAGTCCAGTTCATTCATCATACGGATGAGGAAACAGACCCTGAGTGACCTGTCCAAAGTCACCTAGAGGCTGTACACAGCTCCGGTGGGATTTGAACTTGGGGCCTCTGACTTGGGAGCCAACGAGTGCCTTTTTCCTTATGTCCTGTGCGGCCTCCGGCAGGCTGCTTGTCTTCTCTGGGCCCCTTCCTCCTCACCTGTACAAACGGGGGTGCAGATTGGATGACCTTACCCCCCGAACTCAGTGGTTCTGGACACTCCAGCCGCCTTCACTTAGAGCCCGCGGAGGCCTCGGGGGCCGCAGGCGGATTCAGACGGAAACCCAGAGCTCTTTCCGTGGTTCACAGCGAGGAGAGCAAGCCCCCGTCTCTGCCATGGTGGCTGCACAGTCATGGGCGTGGCTTTGTGCCAGCCGGGTTTCATCGTGTGGGATCACTGTGCATGCCCCCCTCTCCCACGATGGCGTCAGCACTGGCATCGACGGCGCCCCGGCTCCGTCCATCCCGCTCAGGAGCCCTGTCCTTCCCCGTGGACCTCCGGAAATTGTGTTTGAATCTCCTGCCAAGCCCATCCATGATGCCACCGTATCGAGTAAGCTTATCAAAGCTCCAGCGGCCTGTTTGGAAAGGAAAATTGTCCTAGGTTTTTATTGATTTTCACATAAGATGGGGCTTTGATGTTCACAATTTATGGCCATGGAGAGAGGGGCTCATATATCCCTTTCTCTCCCTTTCTTCTGCTTTTTCTTCCCTCTTTGTGAGCCCCTGGAGACGGCGCGGGCCTTCAAGGCTGCACCTTGTTACGCGGGCCCATTGCCTGCCATGTTGCATTTGCAGGGGATCAGGCCCGAGATGAAGCCGAGATAAGAGTGTGGGCGCTAATGAAATCCAGAGGCAGCGGCACTTTCCCCAGGACTGTGGAAGCTCACAGCCGAGAGCGGGGGGCTCTAATTTGAACCAGCCCCGACGCCGAACGGGGAGACTTTGAAGTTTGCAGAGGGACCGCGAGGGAATGCTTTGAGCTGGGAGCCGGCTCAGTTAACCCCTTCCTCTACCTGGCCCCTGCCCTACCTCGGGCGAGCGGTACAGAGGCGGTGGAGTCCCACCGACCTCCGCGGAGCATGACCTCAAAACGTGGCGGCCGGCGACTCCGCATGAGCCAGCGTCTTTGACCGCGGGCCCCCCGAGCATCCTTGGATGATCCGTCCAGGTTTTCCACAGGAAGACTCGTGTCTTCGTTATTGCAGTTTTCTGAGAAGGGCGAGGACTGACTGAAATGTCATGAGGTCCAGAGAGCTTCCTAGAGAGAGGGACGCGCTGTCACGAGGGGGTCTTGGCTTCAGAGCTGAAAGAGAACTTAGCGGCCAGCTAATTCAAACTTCGCAAGGGGAAACTGAGGCCACGGGCATGAGAGTGACTGTTGCCGAGAGCCCACCGCAGAAGAGAGGGGGAAAGCAGCAGGCGCACTTTGCGGAGGCTTCAGACAGTGCCTATCTGTTGCCCCAGATGACTGGGCTAGTTTGCCGGCGTTTCTTTCTTTCTTGGTTCTGAACTGAAACCAGGCAGCTGAATTGAGGTTCTTTGGGACGGGGCGACGGTGGGGCCCAGGGGGCACTTCCATGGAAACATCTCTCTCCTGAGTGGCACGAAGGTGGTGGCCCGTTGGTGTGTAGTGAGGCATGCAGTGCCCGTGCTCCGCTGTTACGAGGGAGGCTTCTGTTGTTGGACTTCAGGGGGTCGGATGGAGAGGATGCGGCCTTTGTTCTGAATGTTGGAGGGGTTCTTTTGACCAATGGCTAGCATAGAGTGCCCGAGACCCACCCGCCGCTTGAAGGGATGTCCTCAGAGAAGACATAGAAAGTAGGCTCTGTCATGACGAGGGGAGGAAAGCTCCAGCTGGGGCTAATCTGGGGCCAAACTCACCAGGACATCGTGTGGTAAATGTCTGGACGCCGCCTTCTCCACCGTTGCCTCCGCCCCAAAATTGGCCTAAAAACAGCTGAGCACAAAACAAGACGGCTCCATCCAATGGGCTTGGGGCCGCCGCCCGGAGCAATGGGCTGTTGTCCAGAGCACCCCACGGGCCACGCACCACGCGCTACGTTTCCATCCACACACACACACGCGCGGCTGCTGGGCCAGGGACTGTCTCTCATCCCCTTCTCTCTTCGCCCCTTACGGTCCAGCTTCAGCCCAGACTTCCCAGGGATCCCCTGGTGGCCAGGGCCTCACCTCCTTGCCCTCTCTGGAGCCTTGGACGCTGTGGGTCACTCTTCTCTCGCGATCCTGGGGATGAGCCTCTGTCCCGGTTCTCTTCCTGCCTCTGACCGCTGCTTCCCTGTCTCCTTTCCTGGGTCTTCTTTGATTCCGCTCACTAACTGGGGGTGTTCTCAGGCTCTGTCTTTGGCGGTCTCACCAGCTCCTGTGGGTTCCGTTAGCGTCTCCGTGAATGACTGTAGTCGCCTTGCCCAGCCCCATGCCCTGCGCTAACCTATAGCTGGCCTCTCCAGTCAGGCATCCTGCAGACATCTCCCAACCAAACTCCAAAACTGATCCCGTTACCTTTCCCTCAAGGCCACCTGCTCTCTGAACTTCCCATGACCATGCCCCAGGCTCACGCCCAGACTCCCCTCTCCTGCCGCTAAGACCGCCTTCCTGACCTCTCCCTGCTGCGCTCCCTCCTCTCCTCTGACCCTGCCCCCACCATGATCCCCTCATCCCTGGCCGGCCGGCCTGCCTGAGTCTCCCCACACCCCAGGCCGGACTGATTGTCTCGCATTTCTCCTCAGTGAATCCCGGTGACCCCCTGCTGCCTCCTGGCTCAACTGTAAAATCCTCAAAGGCCCGTCTCTGAGGGGGAAGTAGTAGTAGCACCTGTTCCCCAGGGCTGTTGGGAGGGCCAAATGAGGTCGCCTCTGCATGGGTCAGTGTGAGATGATGGTGTTTGGTTGGTGTGAGGGACACCCCCCATAGCGACTGGAGTCGGGAAGATCTGGGTTCAGGTACTGCCTCTGAGTCAGACTGGTCGAGGCAGGACGGAGCGGGTGAGACCGTCACCCGCGTGTTCTCTCCGAGCAGCCCACTCTGATCAAGGGGCGCCGGCTTGGAGCACAAGCGAGCAGGGCCCTCTTGCCGCCCAGGGTTTGCAGGATCCTCCGTCCGTCCCTTTGTCTTCCCGGTATAAGTGGCTTGGACTTCCCCGGCCCAGTGGTGACTGGGCGAGCTGAGCGGGGGCAGAGACTTAGTTAGGCTGTCACACCAGAAGGCTTATGGCTGGCACAGAAGAGAGGCTCCGCGTGGCGTCTGGCACCAGCATCCTTTCAGGCTGTCTGGGCTTTGGGCAAACACTTGGAATTACGGTGGTTGCTGGGTAGCGGGGCCCAAACCTCTCCACCTAAAGCAGGCGGAGTGTGTGCGTGCATTCGTCCAGCTGTCCCACCTGCTTGACGTTCTGTTCTTTGGGCCAGGGTGTGTGCACACGCACACACATGCATTGCGTCTCCCACTTTGTTTTGATTGGCTTTGGAGGGACGCCACACAGCAGGCCGAGTTATTAGTGCCTCTCTGGTAAAGGCTCAGGGAAATGATGATTTTAGCAGCTTCTCTCAGGCTCACAGTGAATAACTCTGCAGTACTTCAAAGCGGAAACGAAACCAGCCGCCGCCACCGCTGCCCAGGCCCTTTGTGGAGGAGACGGCTTCGGCCTCGGGGGCTCAGGGTCCCCCCACCTGGGTGGAGCCGCCGGAGGCAGGTGGATGACTCCTGGACGAGTCGGAATGCCCTTGGCAGCCTACAGGATCAGGCTCCCCGCAGGGCCACGTGCAAGCCAGGGGACGGAGGATTCCCCCGTCGGACTCCCAGCGTGGGGCGTGCCGGGGACCCGGGGAAGCATGAGGCAGTCTGCTGGCTTAGCACGTTCCTGCCGGCACTCCTCCCTTTTGTTTTTCTCGTGTCATTCAGTCACCCGTCCATCTCTCCTCTCGCCGTCTGGCCACCTGTTTATCTCTTCTGATCTCCATTCGTCCGGCTGGCATCTAGTACTCAGCTCTCCTCCGTCCACGTAGCCACGTCTCCTCTGTGCCTCTCTCTCTCTCCATCCATCTGAGCCACCCTGTACCAAGTCCTCCTGAAACTAGAGACAATCCCTGCCCTCCAGCAGCTTTCACTCTGCCGGGAGGCAGACCGCACGCAGATGGGTCAAAGCAGACTCAGTGCCGAGGCGCTCACAAAGCCTTTTGAGAACATGCCCCCAGAAGGGAGGCAGACTGGCCGGCGGCTGGCTGACCCCGGGGACAGGCCCCTGGCGGCAGAGGGAGATTCTTCTGGGGGACTTCCTCAGACCAGTGAGGCCAACGGTCAGGTAATAAGAACTGAGAAAACCATAAGGGCATGGGAGGGGTGGGGAAGACGTCCTGTCGGGGGCCCTGCGAATGTACCACAGCAGCTCCTAAGGAGCGTTCCTGCCGCTCACGGACCAAGCTCGGAGCGTCCTCCCTGGGTGCAGCTGGGCCAGTTTTAAAGGCAAAGGTCCCCTGGAATGGTCCTTTGCAAGCCCATCCACTGTGTCTGCCACCGAGCCCTCAGAAGGACCCAAACCCACCTGGGGTGGGCCGTGTGTGGAGAAGACTGCCCAGTGCCGTGGCTGGTCCCGTTCCGTGTCCTCGCAAGCCACGTGGGGTAGTCCCCAGAGCGTTTCTGGTGGTTTCTGACCCTTCCAGACCCCGTGTTCTTGAAGACATCTACTCCATGGATGAAAGGGTGGGAAATATTGGCCACCGCGCCACCAGGCTCCATTCCTGCCAACTACTCAGGAGAAGCAAACACCAACGTACAGATGTCCCATTGGAGACGGCCAGATTCAAGGGCTTCAAAAGGCGTCAAACCCCACCTCGTAACGGCCTCGAAACAGATGCTTTAGAAAGGAAATGTTCCCACCCTTGGTCCTGGTCCTGCCCACACCATGACAGCCGTGGCAAGTTGGGAACAGCACAGGCCTGCAGCCTGGCCCCAGAGGGAGAACCCGCCTCCGAGTGTGTGACCTGGCCCGCTGACCAGCTCCTGCTTAGTGAATGAAGACTGCAGGATGGACAGAGCCCATGGAGGTCCAGGCCCTTCCCTCCCCAGCCCCTGGGGGCTTGTGGGTGGAACCAGACCCTCCCCGGGGCACTGCCTGAGTTTGGCCTGTGCCCGGCACAAAGGGTCAGGATGGCCCCAGTCCTCCGTGAATGTGCCTCCCCTTGGAGATAATGTATGCCCAGAAGAATGGGTGCAAAATTGGGTCCTGGCATCCCAGGTGTGGAGGCCATGCAGCCCGCCCCCTCCTTTGACAGAGGAGGAAACTGAGGCACAGGGAGCTTAACTGGCTTGCCAAGGGTCCCACCACTGGTGAGTCCAAGCTCTTGCCTCAGAAGATACAAAGTAGCTGGGAGTAGGGGGTGGGGGATGGGACGGGCCAGCCCCTGGCAGGGTCTTGTAGGAACTCAGCTGTGAAGGAGTTCTGCAAGGCAGAGGTGAGGAGGGAGTGCATTCCAGGCATGGGGGACAGCCGGTGCAAAAGCCCGGAGGTGGGAGATGGGACGCCACATACAGGGAGCCACAAGTGGGTCCATTGGCATGGACCCTGGAGGGTCGATTACAGCCGGTCTTTGGCCGCCTGAGCCGTGTGACTCTCCCCAGGCTCCCCGTCAAGGTGCTGGAGGGCCGTACGGCTTCTCCTGCCGGCTCTCAGCCCGCAACTAGCCCGTCTTCGTTACTCTGAGTTAAAGGTTCTGGGTAGGAGCAGGTCTGCGTGTTTCTCGGAGGCTTCGCCGCATCTCTGGGCCCGCCACCCCGGGTGGACCAGAGGGGTAGCGACTCTGGGGACTCCTCGGGGGCGAGGGCCCGCGGGGTTAACGTGCCTCTCCTTGCGTGTTGCAGGACAGTCGTCATGCCAGTGGCTAACGAATTCGCCCCAGATGTCGTGCTGGTTTCATCTGGTTTTGATGCCGTGGAAGGCCACCCTACGCCTCTCGGAGGCTATAACCTGTCAGCAAAGTGTAAGTGGGGTTTTCAGATTATTCCCGCGCGTGGCTCGTTTCAGCGCTTTGGAGAGGAGGTGGGCAGGGAGACTTGGAGGCACTCACGACCAGGATGCCAGGCTGTCCAATTTCAGTCTGGGCTTTTCTTTTTTTAATCGCCGCCTCAGTGACCCTTTTGCCTCTGGCCCCTTGTCCCGGTGGCCTTGAAATGTCCCCACCCTGCAGACGATGAGTTTAAATGAGGCCTTTGAACCATGCCCGGGCTAGTGCCCTGACTGCCTCCGGGTCCTGTCCTCCACCTGTGAGCGCCAGCACCTGGGGGTGCATAGAGACACGAGTGGGACCCTCCCCAGGTGCATGGCCTGTTGTTTCCCTGATGCTGGTGAAGCCAGCCTGGGCCGGGCCTTTCCTGCCTCTCCCATCCCCAACACGAGAAAGGCCAGCTGTAGAGAGGGTCCATGCAGCAGGGCCCCCGAGGGAGTGGCAGGGCCAAACAGGGCCTGTTTCTGATTCATGCTCTGTGAGATGTGAGGTCTGTTTCCAGTCCAGGCCCACGAGCTGTGCTGACTGGGCAGTGTAGGTGCCAAGAAAGGGGACGTAGCCCCTGCTCTCCGCGGGCATTCATTCATCACCCACTGCGCTAGAGGCCCGAGATACAAAGACAGAAGTGGAAGGCCCTGCCCTCCCAGGTGCTGTTCTGCAGTGCCTGCTCCAGGACTGGCATCCCCCCTTCTCTCGCCCTCTGCCGGGAGACCGCTGCAGCCATCTGCCCATTGAGGCCCCGGGACTCCTGGGATCTGCTGGCCGAGCCCCCGCTCCCCTGACTCTGCAGCTTTGCTTCGGAGAGGGGACCGTCAGACTAGAGATCATGAGGGCATTATTTGCTTGGTCAGGAACCTACTAATGATTATAATTATATATGATATAATATGTGTTATTACATATTAATATATCATATAATAATTAGCCATGCCACTAATTAGCATCACGCCTTAGGAGGTTCCTCTCGGATGTGGCGGATCCTGCGAGGACATGATTGAAGGGGAGGATGGGAGACCAGGGCAGCGCCTGCGCCCTCCGTGGTCAGCTCCACAGTGCAGACACCCAGCATGTCTTTCCTGTCCCTTGTTGGGCTGGTGTGTGAAAGGATCTCTCTGGTACCGTGCCCCGGAGGGCTGATGGGGCCCCTCTGCCTTCCCAGAGGAAGGAGAGGGCAGCCTCACACACTCACACACTCACACGCACTCACACACATTTACACACACATTCTCACACACAATTTCACACAC